TATACACTGTTTACTTGTATTTTATTAAAAAATCAAGCATATTTTGATTCAGGATGCTAAACCAATAATGAAACCACCAATGAAACTTGTTGCCACAAATGAATTGTTCTTACACCATCTTCCTACCTATAAATAATAGATATACTCTGTTAGAGGTATTAGTGTAACAAGAACAGAAGCAAATATGATGAAAATATTACTTGTGAATTTACCTTATCTAATAGTTTAGGTCCTTCACCGGTAACTTTTTCTTCTACTTTGTCTGTTATTTTCTCAGCTTTTTTCTGGATTTTATCCCAATTAATTTTTATGTATCCTTGATGGGCTGCTATTTGTAGCATTATAATACCACCGCCAAATGCGAGAGCAGCCATTTTCCCAACTTTCATTGTCATAAATCCAGTGACCCTATATGGTATATTTATATAAAATTGAATTAGTTTTAATAGATAAATGTGATTGTTATAATAAAATAAGGGAACTGTGAAGTAATGTTTTTAATTAATTTTTTTCCCATTTGTATATATTAAGTTCCTACCATCCTGATGTTGTGCCAATAATAATTTGTTTAGTAGCAGACTTTTTGCTCACATCTCCCAAAATCTGGTCAATGAGACCCTTTGCTTCCTTAGAGATGTTTATGTTAATCTCGTCATGGTTCGCATCGTCTTTGTATCTTTTGGTTACCGGAAGACTCATCTTAATACTGAAAACAAAGTACTACTTCTGATTTTTTATAGCAAATGGGAAACATTTAATTGAATAGCAATGTAATAATTTATTAGTTTAAACATTTGTTTTAAACTCATAATATTGTTACACATTATTCTTTTTGTCATGAATTATCGTAAAAAGAATGAATTTTCAGCGTTATTTTGATGTAATGAAATAACAAAGTGTCAGGATGCCATGCTTCGATTATTCGTCAGAACGAAAATATATCGATGATTACATTGCCAAGAATGTGCAGTTGTACGGTGCTCTATCACATAAATCTGATATTTGAAGGTCCACTGTTTACGCTCAATAAATATGTGCGTTCTTCGCCAAATAAGAATAATGATTTTTCGAAAATATGTTGAAAAACAAAAAACAGCTACCGTTTAAATAATTTTGTTGCTCCTGACTTGAGGGTAGTCTTGCGTATTTTAGGCATATTAAAGTTCAGGCGTGTCCCTAAATTACATAATACCTTATAATAATTAGTATTTACACATGTGAAGCTCACCTAGTTTTTGAATCACTGAAATATTAAAAAAAACTAATTCTTTTATGCTCTCGAAGAGATCTGACAGTTCGAAGTCTCCGGTATCACCGAATACCACGGTTTCAGTTTGAAGAACGTAGGGACGTTACAGTAACAATACCACTATTAAACCGTCGATAAAGAATGTATGTACGGTATGCACGCTCGTAATTATTATTGAAAAGCGTATATACACGTAAAAACTTGATCAAATTGCATAAGACTAAATGAAGATGATTTTGATGATACAAGAACGAAACTATTTCGTACAAAATTCACTTATGTCAATTATTGTTTGGCTAAACTTCATTATAGTGATATTCACATTGTTGTTGACTACATCTTCTTTAATAAGGAAACAATAAAAGAGAAATAGTATATATGAAAATATCATAAAATAACCAGTATTAGGTCAAATGAAACAATATAAAATGGGGAAGAAATTACAAAGAATAATATGCTAGCAATATGGTACAAGTAATTGGATACTTATATTATAAATCTTACAAGGAGACTTAAATATTTCAATACTGCCATACGTTTAATTTCTCGCGCCATTTTAAGACGTGGCAGAAAGTCTTTTTTCTATGTTGCCGGAATTACAAGTCGATGTAAGCGGTGGTAATGGTCTTCCGTCGCGTGATTCGCCATCCTGATTTAACCTGATCGCCGCTTTTAAAAACTTATCATCCCAATGAGGTGACGAGTTGTCGAAGGCGCGGATTAAAAAAATCACTCGGATTTTCGTGCAAAGCGGTCTGTTCTGTGTGTAAACATGTGTCCCTCCTGTTTCTAATGAATCTGTTTACCGTGTGCGAAAATGGCCCAGGAGACTGACGATATCAACCTGACTCCTCAAGAATTACAGATACTATCTGAATTAGACAGGTGATCTTGTAGTAAACAAACCTCGTACCGAAAATACACGTGCTGCTTCTATAATATTCCATTCGACCCTCATGTTTTCATCGCGTACTTCACAGAATATAACCTAAAAAGCTATTTGACAGAATAGGCGCGCAATTCGATCGGTTTATTTAGACGTGCGTGCAACCTACTGACATCCTTTCCACGCGTCCGATTGTACTACATTCGGTTGTTTTATAGTCGTGTTTTGATGGTTTTAATCGTTGAAAACTCGTTCACGCTTCGAGAATGCAAGTTGTCTCACCAACATTTCTTTTTAGCAAATACCAAAATGAAAATATTTACGAGTGTCAAGTGCAGAATGCATTTCGTTGTTTCCTAGTGTGTGACCACAAAATGGAAAATGTGTCACTTAAAATGTATATGAATTTCAGTAAAGTTAAAGAAAACTATAGTTTCTTTCTATAAGCGATACTTGTGTCCATTTGGAAAAATACATTGACTAATGTGTATGTTCTTTTTGTCGGATGGGATCACAGCCGGCAGTTTGGATTCCTGAAACTGAATTCATCGGAGCAATCAAAGAAGAAAGCATTAGTTGTTCGTGCAATCAAATATCTAGAGAGAATGTTAGTTCAAGCGCAAGCTGAAAAGCAACGTAGAAAAGCGGATAGTACCAAAATGAATCCTGACGAGTTAAAAGATGACGAGGAAGATAAAGGGATCAGTATAGATCCTAAAACCTATTGCAAACTAGGACATTTCCACTTACTTTTAGAAGATTATAGTAAAGGTAATTCATAATTTTTATACAACCTCTAAATAATATTATTTCTGTTGTAACATCGTACATAAATCTAATGTATTCGCTTTTTGTTTGTTTAGCCATGTCTGCATATCAAAAATTTTATTCTCTCAAAGGAGATTATTGGAAGGATGCCTCATTTTTATATGGACAAGGACTTGTCTATTACCATTTCAATGCTTTTCAATGGTAAGTAACTACAATAATTTATTTCTGACCACATCGCGTGCATGAACTTTTTTTTTCCATATCTAATTGTAGCGACGATGAAAGCAATAATATACGAAAATCTTTACAATACCGGATCCATAATTACATCAAATTATTTTAAATGTTCCTGGTTTCACGGTAGTCATTTTTCATCAATAATTTATCTTTCCACTATTTAAAAGAAAAGTTAAAATCTCATTGGAATAGACCGAGATTATTATCAATCGGGTTACAAAAATCAAGTTAAAGTTGGTGGGGTGAAGATGTGTCTAAAGAAAAATGTTGTAATCTCTCATGAGAGTTGCTCGCCTTGAAAAGGGGGCGTCGGCTCCTTGGATGGTGTACACACAGGGTTCATCGTTCTGATCCTGTATTCTCTATTTTTTTAATTTCGCGCAAAATTCTGTAGGTAATTTCACCCTTTACTACCGATAAAGTAGAACATCGAACCTCGGTAAAGTAGTGTGCTGGTTAGAGCGTTGTTCGGCCGTGCTAGCTGTTAGTACCTTAGCCCGACTACAGATGGCTTTGATTTTCACATTGAACGACGAAAGGTGCCTACGTGCCGAACTGCCATGGAGATATGGCGACTAGGAAAGATGTAACGAGAGAGGGGGGATAATAGGCCAAATACGCATCTGTTTCAACGACCGAAATGGTAATTTAGATTTCCCACAGAAACGTTACAATAACAGTTACCGAATATGTCGTGCGTACGTATTAGCTGAAAAAATCAGAAATACCACTATATACATTTATCGGACTATTTTTTGCATGAATATTTTTTGTAGATACTTCAGCGTTGAGTCTCTTTTTAGTTGAAAATTATAAATAGAGGCCACATAATTGTAAGATTGACATTACGAGGTATGAGAAGTTATTTCGAGAATATTTTCGCGATTGCACGTCGTTAGAGTGATCCGTGTGACGAATATCGATCATAACGCGTCTCAACTGCCTTAATAAAGCTGTTCAGGAAATCTAATATAACCTTAATCGACGTCAGTGATGTACAGATGTGCTCGAATCCCGTTATGCGCGATTCTATGCGAATAATATGACACTCGGTGATGGTGGAATTTGAAAATCAGACTGGGGTTTCATTAATTCTTTATTAGTGAGTTTCGAAATAGCCGGGAATATCACATAATGCGGTTACGTTCGTCATTCTGGATTAACGTCGTGTCAGTGACCAGGTCAAATGTTCGGTGCTCATATTCTAACAATATCTTCGTGTCAAGCAGACGTGCTTCGTAAAATAGATTAATCAAATTCTGGTCAGAGCAGTGATTCGATCTGGAAGTGAATTTTATTTCTTCGTTGCGTTCCGTTGCTATTCTAGTTCTCGAAGAGGGAATTATTCATGAAATATATAAAATGTGTATTGCCTTTGTGCAATATATTTATTGTTGTTTCGTAATAACGATACAAATTAATCTTATCGAGAGTTTACTTTTAGGAAAGTACATAATCATTTTTTGGTTGCATTATCAGTTACATGTATTTCGCTATGCGATTCAGTGCAAGCACATTACGTACATTGTTACCGTTGACTTGACGTTTCCTGTCAGGCAATCGGCATTGTAGACGGTCAGGAGTGGGAATATCGATTTCCTGTTCAACCCTCCTTAACTTGGATGGAGCAAGATTCCCATGGAACGAATCTCGCAGGAAATACTCCCTTTCGGACTTTCGGCATTCCACTCGACTACTACGATGCCGAATAAACGTTATCAATTTCACTGATTAATGTCATCCCGCGGTATTTCCCCGTATGAAAATTCCGTCAAGTATATTGTTTCCCCTATTGCTTTACAACTAAATTAGTTTGATGATGTAGACATGCAATTCGAATACTTCAAAACCTTAGGTCAAGTTCTAGAAATTCTGTAGTAGTTTGTTGAATAATTAATTTCAAAGTTCGCAAAAGGTTCGAATACTGAAACAGAGTTACCGCGTTTCATGGTCAAATAATTTTATCGAAAGTTTTGGAGTCACGCAATAGTCTCTAGTCACGTACATCCAAGGCTGCCTTAAGTGTTTCAAGTTTCGCACGTGTGGGTAATGTTGGTAACTGTGGGATGCTATATTAACAACGGCGATCCGAGGTTGCAAAAATGCGGGAATTGTTGCGCTCGATGAACGTTATTATCTACTGAATAGAATTTAAATAGTACGCTTATATTAATACAGCTGTTTAGTTATTTTGTTATTTACATAAACGACGAATTAGATCGCCTTAAACTTTAGCGTCGTTAGTCTTTATTTTTGCCGACAAACCGCAGATATATTGAGCGGGTGAAATTGAATGGTAGATCCTCCCGTTGCGGATGCGAGAAGCGGTTTCCTTCGTATATTAGGTTTCAAAGTGTCCGTTCAGGTGTGATTACTAGGAAGTACATAACAGCAATTATTTGATATGGGTTATTTGAGAGAAAAGGCAGAATTACGCACGCCGGCTCGATATCACGTCGTTGACCAATTATTCAAATTTTGTCATAAATTATCGAAGAATATTTAATCCGCACACATCTGACAGCAGTCATTTCTGTTTAAATCGAGCCCTTGTGGAAGCTTCCCTATTTTCCGAGACACCTTCGTCGAAAGTCGGATTGGGATTAGGCATATTAATTGCACTCGCGTGATAGATTAGTCTCTAGTAGCGTATGCCAATGCTCCGCGAATGCGATAATTACAAGAATGGCGCTACGGTTCGTTGATAGTGTTAACTTGAAAGAGAAAATGGATCGGCTCGTGTCACGCTGTAACGTATCGACAGTGGAACGAACGTTGCGTAGTAGTATTCGTTAATTTGTTGGACGCGGCGATAAAATTAATTCGAGAAAATTGAAGCTCTAGTTACAGTTGAAATAAATAACTCTACCGTGGGGCAACACCGTGCAAGCAAAGAAACAGATACAGAAATGTGATTGAGATTACAGATACAATATAACCGATTTCTTATTTCACATTTCTACAAATTTTAGAGACTCATCGGGAATGCTTGAATAAATTACATTATTCGAACAAGTCTTGTAATAAAAATTTCTCAAAAAGATGAAACCGATCACTTTTACGAAGCAATGCACGCAAGCCGCTATTACTGCTCGATAGATTTAGCGTTAAAATGGCCCTTTGGGACGTTGAGAGCCACTGTGTCCGTCCAGCAACGAGGGCGAGCACTCGAAGCGCAGAGGATTAAGTTTCAATTCGCGGGACTGTTAACGCGAAAATGAGTTTCGCATCGTAGGACAGCAAAGCCGTTGGAAGAGGTGGCCGATTGATATTGTGTTTTTCGAGTCCCTTGCCAGGCGCGGCCCTTCGCCGACGGAGCCTGCAAGCCAACCCCTTCCTTCGGTCAGCGAACCTTTTTTCGCCAACTTTTCACCCCCTCGCGGCCACGGTCTCGTTCAATGGAGACGAAATCTCCCCAAGGGTGATTCACGTGACGCGCGTGACTCGTCAGTTTGTAATCTCTCGAACGTGCGCGCGGCCCGCGGTGTTGTCTATTGTATCGATGCCTGCAATATTTATAGCGGCCGCGGTATTATGCAGTCGCTCGGCACTGTTGTACGCGCCGTTGTTTTGCGATATCGATCCTCTTATTTTGATACGTAACGACTAGCTAAGCAACCGTGTACCGATATACATATTAGCCTGCCGGCAAACAAATGGCCGATCAACACTCTTGTCCGTTGACGAATTGCAATTTCGATTCAGTTCGCATACGTCGACTAAAGTAACGTTCCTTGAAATTCTGGGGTTCGACGCGGCAAAGTTTTCTCTGGAAAAAGTGGGAACATTCTTCCTAGTACTATGAACCATGGTCAAAGTCACCTATTCATTGATAGCTACATTTTTTAATATATCATTGATAATTATTGTCTACTTTATATATATATATATATATATAATTATATAATATATAATACTAAATAATAAATATATACAATTTATACAATATAATCAACGTATAATTTTAAATAAGTTACAATACTTTTAATAAGTATATTACTGTTTAAAATTTCTCCTATGAATTTTTCTTACAAGTGCATACAATTTACTGGCCGGCAATTGTGAAGTTAGAAATTTTAGAAAAGCCATTTTTAATGGTCAGATTCTTTCATTTCATGTTCTCAGATATGCACACGAAAATAACACGTAGCTTTCGCTGCGGGATTATAAACGATTCATTATCGATCAATATTTATTCCGCGGTATGGAAACAGCATTTTCGTTTCCCATGTGGCTACGAACAACGTGAACGATAATAGTTTGTGTCGGATTTTCGTGCGACGCGTCTACGAGAGAAGAATTGTTACGATTCCCGCTTCGGTGCGTGACTATACGTGGCCGAACACGTGCGTAGAAGGAGAAGCAGTAAAATCGATCGTCTGCAACGCATCTCTATGCGTTGCACGTGACTCAACGGCACTCTTCCATGGCGGACAAATGTCCCGGCTGCTGCTTCGACGAGCGTCCGCTCGGCGCGGCAGCCCAAACGCGGCCCTGGAAAGCATTTTTTCCGACGATTTTCTCTACAGTATTAAAAGTATTAAATTATTAGCGAATAATTTTCCTTGGTATTAATTCATTAATATTATCACGCGCAGCGAGTTTCTCCAATATTTATTTATTTTCACTTTGCTTTTTATGGCCTGAAACCAAACAAGATTGTTTGTGTTTTTAGCAGGACTTTCTACTGTTCAAAATCCAGATCAGGATTTCTTTATCACACTTAAGTGACACAAGATTTGCTACAGAATAATGGCAACCTCAGAAATTATTTATTTATTAGTACAAATTCTATGGAGGTCACGAGGGACTCCAGTTGTCGAGAGATTGCAATATGCCAGTGCAAGGTTAATTTTTACTTGATTATATAAGTGAATGTAAGTAAATTAAAAAATATAAGTAAATTATATTATATATAAATAACTTTAAAACTATATTAGCAGAACAAAGTACTTTTCGGATTT